AGCTGGGTTATGCCTGTGCCTTTTTGGGGGGGTGGGGGGGTGTTGAAACTGAATAGCTCTTGTGACCAAAATCTGTGGTCACCAGAAACCAGACACTCCTGTAGCGATGTCACAATCACTGGCTGAATTAAAGGTTGCTAGATAAGGCACAGATGTCTGGCTTCTCTTAGCAACCAGATTTCATTTTGCACTCCGGCTTTATGGAATGTTCCCCCAGTTTGCAGCATGGAGCATGCAACATACCTATAATTAGGTACATGGGCCTCTTTTTGCACAATGTTTCTGTAGCATTCAGTGCTTCTACAAGTAGTTCTCAACTTACAATTGTAATGGAATCTGCCCACCACAGCTGTAGGTCATAAAACAGGTCACCTAAGTGACCAACCCAACTTATATCCCTTTTTGTGTGTGATGGTCATTAAATGAACTCATGGTTCTCTTTAGGGCAGTTGGCACTCAGCCCCTGCGTGCCCCACCCAGCCTCACCTCTCTGCATTCCTTCCCAGGTGAAAAGCCCTATTCCTGCTCCCACTGCAGCCGAGCCTTTGCTGACCGCTCCAACCTCCGTGCTCATCTGCAGACCCATTCGGAGATCAAGAGGTACCAGTGCTGCGCCTGCTTAAAGACCTTCTCCCGGATGTCGCTGCTTTTGCGGCACAAGGAGGCCGCATCCTGTGCCACAGCATCCTGAGGCTGGCAGAGACAGAGAAGCTTTGGATGAGTGAAGACAGACCTGCAATTTGGAGGCCGGCTGCATCCTGCAGGAGGAGTCGGTGATCTGACTGGGCCTACCTTTGCTCCAAATAAAGCAGTAAAAGGAGTCGTGTCCTCGGATGACTTTAAATTCCTTCTGTGAATTGCTCTTGGTGCGATGGCATCTTCTGGGCTCCAGGATGGTTTGGCCACTTGAGCACCAGAGACCATGTTCCCCAGCTGGCTTCCTTCCAGGCCCCATGCTGGAGAGGTGCTCAGAAGCCTCAATGCATTCACTGTCTGCTTCGTCCTGCTATTCTTGGCATTAAACACTGCTCAACTCCCACTTCTGGCCTGAATTTTTTACGGCTTTTCCGGATGCTGGTGAATCTCTGCCACCGTGACAACTCCCTCGCCAGAGTGCATGGCAGGTCTGCCGGTTGCGCGGAAGGACAAGATGCGGGGAGGGCTTCCTCCCTAACAAACTCGGAGAAAGTGTTGCTTAGTAGGATCTTCTCTGGTCACGTCAAATCCACCCCAGGGAGAGGCAGCCCATTCACAGAATTCAGCGGGGAAACCCACCAGGGTCTTCCCAAGAGGCTGAGTCTTTGTTGATTTACCAGCCACCCTTTCTTCCTTCCTTCGCCCCTTTGGGAGAGGCCAAGGTTAAGCTAAGAAAAAGGAGACGGGACGACCTTTACCACCAAATTTCAGGAATACTTTGAAATAGATCCGTTGACATTTTGAATGGCCCCAATTGGGGTTTTAATTGAATGCAAAGGTGTGGTCAGCAGAGTGGGAAGTTTGGAGCAGTTAGCATGAAAAAAGGACCTGGGTTGACTAAACTGCATATAGATATTTTTTCCTGGTCTTCTTAGATATGAGGTTGGTTTGTTTTTTCCACCCTGGATTTCTTGGAAGGAATCTGGTTGGTCTCTGCTGAAGGCAGAGTATTTCTTTTATTCATTTCTGCCTGCCACAGTCTGCCTGCGGGCTTATGCGCCCTGCTTCCCAGAGCATCCAAATTTGAACTGGCTGGGTTTTTTTTTGTTTTGATAGATGCTGTGATCTTTCCGTCTGTGCATAAACAACGGAGCAAAAATAAAATTAAACAGGTGACATTCGGCAGATTGTCTTCCCCCTGTTCATTTTCTTCTGGACTCCACAATTGGTGTTAGTCCTTCCATGTTCTTGGAAGGAATTTGCGTTCAGACAAGGGGTCTGTGCAATGATTTCCTTTTCATTTAAAAGGCAAATAAAATGAAAGGCCGTGTTCATCAAGATGCAACCAAGTTTTTTGAGGCTACCCCCAAGGGACTATTTCAAAGCCAAAATCCAGAGAAAAATTCTGCCTGGTTGCTTTTCCTCATGGGAAGGCTTGTCAGTGCAATCCACGCTTTTCACCCACCCATGCGAGTGTTTTCCCCATTTTTCCCCCCAGGAGAACATCTGGAGCATTTCCGTGCTTCTGTTGCTATCAAAGGGCCTACCAAGGTGGGAGATGTTTGTGCAGCTTGAAGTCAGCGGTGAGGTCAGCCTGGCAGAGTGGGGAAGCAACGGGAATATTTATAGCCTTCCCCGTGGCCGGAGAACATAAATAGGACTCCGAGATGCCTAAAGCAAGCTACATTGTAAACTCCGCACTATTTTGAGCTGCAAAAGTTCTAAAAACAGCTCTTCCACCTGTTGTGAGGAGGGCCAGAGCAGGAAAGTATGTTGCTGCTTCTAAAATAAGCCAAATGTTTTTCCCTCTTACTTGCAGCAGATGGAAAGTGCTGGTAAATATAGCAGCAGGGCAAAGGTGGGCACTCGAGACCCCCACCTGCTGATTTGCCAGCGGCGAGGGGAATGCGAGGATCAGGTGAATGAGTCTGTTTTTCCACTCTGCTTAGGCGGCCTGGAGCTGGGAAGCACAGAAGGCACCATCTGGGCTCTTGTTTTGGTTCCTTCTTGGTCCACAAAAGCTGGCCGAGAAGAAAACTGACTCACTCCCACTTCTCAGATCAAGCAAGGAGAATTTTAAAAAAAGCTTGTCTGTTTGCATTTGGAGTCATTCCTGCTGAGCTCTCTCCCGAAAGTCTACCTGCCTTCCTGGGGTAAAGGCAGCTGGGGTTGTAGAAAGTCCTGAGTTCAAATCTTAACTCTGCCCAGACACCAGGGCACACCTACCGTACTTAAATAGAGAATGTTTATAGTTTAGGATTGACATGAGGATGGGTGGGTGGTTTTCTTGCAGACATTTCAATAGTCAGCTTCATTCACATACTGTACTGTAACATGTGAAGTTTATTAAATCGTTGGGTGATTTTGTTTTGATCAGGGTTGGTCTGATGTATAAATTCAGTCTTTTGGTTGGACTATAATTCAGTGTTTAGTGATTGATTGATTGCACGCCATCAAGTTGTTGTCAATTTGTAGTGAATGCACAGATTTTCTGCACGATTTTTTCCCAGTCTGGTACTTTAGATCTTCCAATAGTAGTTTTTCAGTACAAATGGTAGAGTAAATATGGTATGCTGTACAAACCAACTTTTGATTGATGTTGACATGGATACAATCCCATTTCAATTCACAATTATAAGATAAAATAACATAAGATTGCTTTCTGAAGCCGTTTTTTTAAAAATGTTTCCCGCCCAAGAAAAGTTATTTCTTCACTACAGGAGTGTATTTTATAGTTAGAAATTGGAAACAAACTCTCTTTCAGAGAGGAAGTGATGTTATAAATATGTTATTTATTTATTCAGTTTCTATTTACTGCTCAACTCAAGCAAGTGACTCTTACCAGGTTCTGGAGTAAATGGACACTCTTGGCCACATTAATATAGAACTTCAGAGATTCTTCTTCTCTAAAGTCTTCCGGCTGTCCCCAAGGAGGCTGGCTGAAGGGGAAATGGAGGATCTGCTCTGTGGGACGAGAGAACAAGGGCAGGCAGGCCCTGATGTTATGGGGGAGTGGGAAACACGTCCCTCCCGTCTAAGAAAAGTGCAATGACCTTAATTTACGGGCTCTGGGTTAGGAGCCAGGTACATCAAGTGGAGCTTTGAAACAGGAGAGGAGGAGGGTTGGCGGATGGGTGCCGAGATCTTTCCAGCTTAAGTTTCTTTTTCCCATGACAACTGGAAAAGCAGCCCCCCCCCCCCCTCCCTTAAATGCCAGCCCCCAGAAATAGCCCTGCCCGCCTCTGGCCGAGGAAGTCGCTCCGGCCCCGGGGCCAAGCAAGGCAGAAAGAGGCCGCCTCTTCCTACCCATCTGGCCTTGGCCGGCAGGGCGGGCTATCTATAGCCGGCCGGGCGCCCCGCGTGGAACCGAGCCCGGCCCCGCCTGGGTGCCGCTCGCGCCGGGGATGCCGAGCAGGTGGAAAGACCGCGGGGCGGGGGGGGCGGCGCGGAGAGATGCCCCCCTCCCCTCCTCGCGTGGGCAGGCGGGGACCGGGGTGGCCCCCGCGGAGCCCTCGCCGGGAGAAAAGGAGGGAAGGGCACGGCCGCCTGGGCTGCCCGGGGTCCCCTCGGGAAGAGCCCCGCGGAAGGGAGGCGGGTTCGGGAGAGCGAAACGTCCCGAAGGGGCTTCCCCCACCACCCACCCCCCGCCCCAAAACAAGGCCACTGGACCTCGAGAGAGAGTCCCGCTGCCTCTGGGAGGAGAACGAGGCGGACGTCGAGGTCCACCGGCTTCCAGCGTCGCCCGGGGCTGAAAGGGCGCCAGGCGGGTCTCCACGCCGCCCTGAGAGCCCCCCACCCCCCGTCCAGCTGCGGGTCTCCGCCAGGCAGAGGTTCCCCCGCCCCCCCAGCACTGCATGCTGCACCCCGCTCGGAGAAGCGCCTCGTCCGCCTCACTGCGTGCCCCGCTGTCCCCCGCCAGGCTGCACCGGGGCAGCGGAGAAGAAGCGGCGCCGCGACCCTCCGCGAGGCGGGAAAGGAAGAGCCGCGTCTCTGCAAGTGAAGGAAGACGCGGCGGCAGTAAAGAGCCCGGCCGGGGCGAACGCAACCGAGCATGCGCGCGCGTGGGGCGGGCGGGGGGGGGGCTGTGCTGTACCTCTCTTGCCCTGGCGCCGGTGCCACGCGGGAAGCCGCCCGAGTTGGAAACTTCTCCCGCTCCCACCAAGCCCCGAAGGTTCCGGGCTGGAATGAGGCGAGCCGGCGGCCCCATCGTCCGACGCCATCCGATTGGCTGAGAGCGGCGGCCGGAGGAGGCGGGGAGCGCGCTGATTGGGCGGCGCGGCCACAGCTGGAGCGGCGCGAGCCAATGGCGGGTGGGGAGGCGTGTCGCTTGCTTTGGCTGGGACACGTGTGGGGGAGGAGGAGGAGGAGGAGGGGGGACTCGGGCTCCGATCCCAGTAAGGGCGGACTGGGAGGACTGGGACGGGAGCGCGAGCGCTGGGCAGGCCGGGCCGGGGTCCTGCTGAGGAAGGGAACGGCGGTGGTCATGAGTCCGCCCGTGGCCGGAGAGAAGCGGCCGGCTCTGGTCACCTGCACGGCGCCGGTCAACATCGCGGTGGTCAAGTACTGTGAGTGGCTGCGTGGAGCCCGCGAAGGGCCCGGGGTGGTTTTCCAGGAGGGCTGGTGATGCTGGTGAAGGCGGCTTGGATGGGGGACCACCAGGAGATCCCCAGTCAGAGCTGCAGGTGGGATCAGGAGGTGGGGAAATGCAGTGGGGGGGAGAGGAGAGACCGAGGGGGCTCCAAGAGGCTCTTGCTGTCAGTATGATGAAAAAAAAAAACCCTTTCCCTGCAGGAAAGAGGGGGCTGGGAACCCCAAGGAGGCGTGAATCAAGGGCCAGGACGAGCAAGGAGAAATCAAACGAGCCCTCTTGAAGAAGGCTTACAGGGGCCAATTGCTTTTACGAACACGGGTGCCAAATACGGAGAAATTGGTGTCGTAGGCTATAATCTTCTGTACTTCCTTCGCAATAAATATACCTGTGTTGAATGTACCTGTAGACTCTGAAGCAATATGTGGAACGTCTGGTTTTCCATGGTAAACCCTGCTCTGGCAGCCAGATCGATAGAGAGATCAGGAGAAGGAGGAAGATCCTTCACAAATAATAGGTTTGCCTGCAAGCTGTAATTAAAGTCCAGAAAACAGGTTGGAGCGGCTCTGTCAGTCTCCCGATTTATGAGGTTCTCCGTCCGTGGAAGATTCAGGGACCTGTCCTGCGGTGCTGAGTTTGTCCCCAGTTCAAGCCATGTCCTTCTTTCCTCATCCAGGGGGAAAGCGAGACGAAAAGCTGATCCTGCCTGTTAATTCATCCCTCAGCGTCACCCTGCACCAAGATCAGGTTGGTGCCAGACTCTCACAAGTGGCCCGTTTTGTTTGGGGTGACCGACTTCTGCCTGCAGACCGAATGTGGACAGGGGTCCCCAAACATGGCAACTTGAAGACTTGTGGACTTCAACTCTCAGAATTCCCCAGCCAGCATAGTTTACTCTCTTGTAATCCCTTCCTCTGCAATATCTCTCCACTTTAGGAGACTAAGAGAGAGAAAAAGCAGGCATGGCTGGCTGGAGAATTCTGGGAATTGAAGTCCACAAGTCTTCAAGTTGTGAAGTTTGGAGGCCTCTGCCTTAGGACCACTTAAAACCCCTTTAAGAGCTGCAATTTTAACTGAAAATCCTGTCAAGGTTGCTTCTGCTCTTCTTCCTCGTTCATTTCTGGGAGCTGCCCTCTTTGGCTGCCCTAGTGTTGCCATAGCCACTTCATTTAACGTTTGGAGGCAGGTGATGAGATCCCCTCACTCATGAACCACTAGAAGAGATCCAGTGGCTTAACGGGATAATCCAGTGAGGGTGGATTCGTGGAACGCCCAGAGGCTTTGTGGGCTTCCTCACACTTGCTCCAGGCTGGAGATCTGACCTGCCGTGGCTTCTGTTCTGTTACAGCTGAAAACAACCACCACAGCCGCTCTCAGCCGGGACTTCACGGAGGACCGCCTCTGGCTGAATGGGGAGCCGGCTGACATCGAACAGCCCCGTCTCCAGACCTGCCTGCGGGAAAGTAAGCGCAGGGCCGCCCAGCTTGGCTTCTGAATGTTCTGGTGTTTCTGATTCTTTGTTTTGAAGGCCTGAGCACCAGTGAGCAGGGCCTGTTTCTTTTGCCCTGGGGATTTCCACTGGACACAGAAACTGAGTTCAGCCCAAGGAGTCACCTTGCTTTGGACGGCAGAGAGAGACGCTGCATAATTGGATGCTTTTATTATGAAGAATATTTTTTTAAGTGCTTTTCTCTCTAGTAACAGTAGCAAACTTTATTATAGTATTTGACCAGTTCAGAACCCCTAGCCTCCTTAGTGGAGATACCCAGGATGATAGTTGCTGGGTGAGACACAGCATAGAGGAAATGTCTAACCATGTGTTAAGGCAAGGGTCTTCCAACTTGACAGTTTTAAGACTCGTGGACTTCAACTCCCAGAATTCCTTAGCTAACGTGACTGGAGGAGGAATTGTGGGAGTTGAAGTCCACGAGTCTTAAAGCTGTCAAGTTTGAAGACCTCTGGATTAAGCTCTTGGGATTTAAGAGCTGAACAGCAGTGAAGCTTACCAGATGTGGCTGATGCAATAAGAATGAATCAGCATAGCATGGGTATTTCCCTTTAAGACTGGGGATGGGTTCTATCCCTTTAAGAGGTGTTTATATAAGAGGCAGCCATTAGAGGTCATATTCTCTCTCCTTGTGTCCTGTATTCATTGCAGAGTTCTCAGTGTGTAGAGTTAAGAAGTTTGCTTGCTTGTAAGTTATTTTGCCTACCACATATATGTCTGTATATGTCTTGTACATAAACGCTGTTAAATGTCTAGACCTCTGTGTGCTGTGTTTTGATCCTGGGTTGTCTCATAATAACAGTCACATTGCAAACGCTTTGACACCATGTTTGTGAGAAATTCCCCAGCCGATTGCAGACTTTACCAGAGATCCAAACCAATTCTGCAGGGATATCTGTTTCTGCCTCTTTCCCCCAAGCAACCTTAGCTCCCTTCTCTCTCTCATTCTCTCTCTCTCTCTCTCTCTCTCTCTCTCTCTCTCTCTCTCTCTCAGTCCGTCGCCTGGCTAGGAAGCGCCATGGTGAGAAAAATGGGGGTGACGAGGGGGACCTCCCTCCCCTGAGCTACAAAGTCCACATAGCCTCGGAGAACAATTTCCCCACTGCGGCGGGCTTGGCCTCTTCTGCTGCTGGCTACGCTTGCCTGGGTAAGTGAAGCTGGTCCCAGTGGGGGCCCTGGGGGTCAGACTGGCGGGGGGGGGGGGGTCGAGATTCCCGACTTTGGGGTTTGCCTCCTTGTTGGGGGGGGGGGGGGGAGGCGGGCCCGGGGGGGAACCGGGGGGGGGGGGGGGGGGGGGGGGGGGGGTCTTCGAGATTCCTGACTTTGTGATTTGCCTCCTTGTTGTGGCTGGGAAGGAATGGCAGCCACGGACAGAAAACGGATGGGGGAGGTTGAGACCCGAAGTGGTGGCTTCGTGGCATGTGGGCTGGGGTTGCTGATTAAAGTCCAGCCAGCCCTGCCTGCTTCCAGGAGGCCCCCTCTAGCCCCCTCCAGGGAGTTTCCACCAAGGCATCCTTGGACTCTGCTGCGTACTGCACAGTGTGCTCTGTGGATCACACCAGCCTGCTGATCCCTTTCTCAAGGGCTGCCAGTTCTAATCTGGGCTGGACTCCGCCTCCCAGAAACATTTATTTGGGGAGTTCTGCCCCCAAACCTCCTAAGGGTGTGGCCCCCGGGAGAAGTTCTGCTGTGGGACCGGCTGCCCTCTCGCTTCCCTTCCAGTCTACACTCTGGCCCAACTCTACGGCGTGGAGGGGGACCTGTCCGAAATTGCTCGCCAGGGCTCTGGGAGCGCCTGCCGGAGTATGTTTGGGGGCTTCGTGCAGTGGGTGATGGGGAGCGATGCCGACGGCAAAGACAGCGTGGCCCAACAGGTGGCGCCAGAGACGCACTGGCCGGAGCTGCGAGTCCTGATCCTGGTGGTGAGTCTGGGTTCCCTACCACGGAAACTAAAGCTGCCTAGTAGTTGGGCCCCGTTGCTTAGGGAGGTGGGGGAGGCAGGGGGCCCCTTCTGCAGGACTGAGCGGCTGATGCTTCCTGCCCCCCCCCATGGCTCCTCTTCCCCCTCCCTCCATGGCAGGTGAGTGCAGAGAAGAAGGCGGTGGGCAGCACGGCCGGAATGCAGACCAGTGTGAAGACCAGCCTCTTGTTGAAGGTAAGAGACACGGCTGCCTGGTCACAGAGCCCCCCCTCCCCCTGATGTCAGGATTCTGGCAGTTACCCCCATTTCAATCCTGAGTCTCGAGCCAAACTTCAAAAGGATTTATTAGGAGTTAACATGCCAGCACTGCCTGGGGGTAGCCAACACTGAGGCACATCATTCATTGTCACCCTTGACCCTGGTTTTCCCCCTACCCCCTGGCTGTATCGTAATTCATATTCTCCAATGGGACACCTCCATAGCCCAGAGTCATCGGTCATGCTCTCCAGTTAGAATTTTGCACAGCAGAAATTCCAGTCACCTAGTTACTATCTTTGAAAACATTGATGGAATGCACTTTCGGTTTTGCAAGTTGCCCACGCTGCTCCCCCCTCCCTTTCTGTTGGAAACTCTAAAAAGACCATAGAAATATTTTATGAGTTGAGAATCTGGTCCAACCAACCCTCCCCCACCGCCCAAGCGGGAGACTCTACGCCATTTCAGACAGATGGCAGTCCAGTCTCTTCCTGAAAGCCTCGTTCTCCTCTTCCAGCACCGTGCCGAGGCTGTGGTCCCGGAGCGCATGGCCCAGATGATCCAGCACATCCGGCAGAGGGATTTTGAGGCCTTTGGTCAGCTCACCATGAAGGACAGCAACCAGTTCCACGCCACCTGCTTGGACACCTTCCCACCCATCTTCTACCTCAACGACACCTCCAAGCAAGTCATAGCCCTGGTGCACCGCTTCAACGCCCATCACGGGGAAACCAAAGTGCGTGGGGCGCTGTGGCGCCAGGGGTGGGGCGAGGGGAACCCCCGGGGCAGGCTGGCGATTCTTGTCTTTGGCCAGCAGGTCAAAGGATCAAACCAAACCGAATCAAATGCTTTATTTGGCCAAGTGGGATTGGACACCCAAGGAATTTGCCTCCGGTATAGAAGGTCTCGTTGTACGTGCAAAACAACCGAAAGTAAAGACGGCAATAATACGGATAGATAATAGTGCTATAGCCATGCAGCAGGGGTAAATACACATAGACAGCCCTGTGTAGAGCAACTATTCCATCTTTTATCTTTTTCCGACCCTGTGCTTGCTGACAGGTGGCCTATACGTTCGA